ACGCTGACTGACAGGGGCTGTTTTGTAATTGTGCAACATTTGCATAATCCCAAATCAGGCAACACTTCCCTATCTGGTAATACATTTGCTTAGCTTCCCATTCTGGCATTTTATTATTTCAGCCTTCTTTATCTGTCATTTTCCCTAAATTGATAGTTATATTATTATTTTTTTAAAAATAAAATTTATTCTCCAATAGTGAGAAAAACTAGGAAACATCAACCGAATCGAAAAAGAAGGAATATTTCTTATTTTAAAATAAATATCAAACCTGGCTTGAATTTCAAATTTTGTGACCCATTTTTCACGCTAAAAAGTTGAAATTTTAATGCTAAACTAAATTTTGTTTCCTTTTCGTTGAACCGGATTATTTTTTTAAACTTTTGGAGTGGTGGTATTGACTATTGAGCCAACGATCAGGTTTTAAGAAACTTGCTTTTGAGAATATTTAATAAAATTGGGATGATAAAGCAAAAAATTAACATGACCTTAGGCGAAAATGACACATATAAATTAAGAAATTTCAAGAAAATATAATGTAGATAAGTAATAATATTTTATACTGTTATTTGGAATTTAATTTTAGGTATCGGAATATTCCAATTCTAATAAACACCGTCGTCATAAATATATTAATAAATAATAAATACTACTTCCAGTTCTTAATATAAAAAACTAGTTGACTAACTTGAGTATATTAAGAAAACTAGTTAAGTTAATTATTTGTAATAAATATGTGGTGTCTTTCCTAAAATATCCTTACTAATCAAATATATTGGCTAAAACTACTATTATTGCAAGAATTACCTTGAAAAAAAATAGACAAATATGCTTTATCTACTAAAGTAGATTGGAAGTCTTATATTTAGGATCAAAATAAAAGTCGAATGAACTTTTATATTAAGGACTTGAGGTAGTAATATAAATAGGAAAAATTGATCATTTAGCCTCTATAATTTTGACTCAATTATAATTTAATACTTGAACCTTTTTTTTTTCTGGTCAGATAATACTTGAATTTTAATTTAACATAACTCAATTCTTATAATTTTGATTCAATTGAAACTTAATTTGGTTTCTATAATTTTAGTTATTTAAAATGTTGATCCCTATATTTTAGAAATTAAATTATAAGGGTTAAAGTTTTTTCAAAACTCAGGAGCTAATTAATGTTATTTTCAAATGGCTAAAATTACAGGAACTAAGCTTTTTGAATAAAAAATTTATAGATTAAATTTCAACCAAGTCAAAACAAAAACTGTACGAATTGATTTTTAATACTTGAACGTCACGAATTGAGTCACAATCAAAACAAATCTATGAAAACCATATGATTAAATTATTCCTAAAATTTATACATATACTATGTGACACAATATATATATATATATATATATATATATATATATATATAAACCTAATGTCCAAGTTGCAAGACACATTAGCAAATTCAAAGTCAAAAAGGAACAAAGTTGCCTGACAAATGCTAGAAGTGTCAATGCAAGTGTTCTAGAGGCATGGAAAAGGAACCGGAGGCTCCTCCAAAACAAGGCGGGTTCTAACCCGTCCGATTAAGTTGGGTGTATATGGTACGCTCAACACTTGTCGCTTGGCACCTTAGAAGAGTGGAGAATTATATAAAACCAACCGCCATTATATCTCACCTGTAAAACAATGCTCTTCTTTAATATTTCATGACATTACACTAACTTTCTTTAATAATATGCCACGTCAATGTCCAGAAATAATACTGTAATATGCATTATTCTTAGTTAAACTGAGAGTTGATTTTGATCCTAAATGCTACTGTTGGTGTGTAATACGAAAATTAGATAAGTAATTTGAAGAAATTAAGGAATTTAGTTAAATTAGTTATTTGTCACAAATGTATGTTGATTTTCCTAAAGTATCCTCTTCAATCATGTATATTAGGTAATTGGAATTATTCCTTAACAAAAACTCCTTACGAAAAAGGAATATTTTTTAAAAAAATAAAAAACAAAATAGATTGAGGTCTTATATTTGAAAGTTAGAACCAAATCTAACCCCTAACTAACTTTTGTATAAGACTTCAATACATTTTATTTCTTAAATTTATAATTTTTTTCGTCTAACGTATTTCTATTGATTATCTAGAGTTTTCATTTAGGAATAATTTCAATATATATGATTAAATAACTAACTTAACTAATTTTCTCAATATTCCTAAATTAATTATTTAAACTCTTACATTAAGGACATGAGGTAATAGGTCTATCACATCTTTAAAAGATTCATAAACTACATGCATGTCTGATTTCACTTTAAGAACCATCCAATAACACAAAGCCAAACATACCTTAAGATTAATGCGTAACTTAGAACTGCTTTTTAATCTGTGCACCTATTGGATCTTTTTAAATTGTGATCCTAATTCATCGTCTAATCCTGCGTCTGCCAATGCCTCATTTCAGTAATAATATTTGCCAATGATTTATTATTAATTCGTTTTTTTTATCAAATTTATAGTTTGTATTGAGTATGATATAAATTTTCTTATGAAATAAAAAGGGTTAATATAATCTTTTAGTCCTTTAAGATAAATTTAAGAAACTAAAAATTATATCAATCTTAAATAAAATAATAGAAGGTTCCTGTTAAGAGATTATAGCCTAAGTTACAAGTAAAATTGAATTCGGCTCCTTTTATTTATAAGAAACCTCTTACTTCATTAGGCTACACGTAACTTTACTAGCACACACCCAACTGAATTCGAGACTTTTACATGTGGTAGGGTTAGACTAACTAATTCATATACGATTTTAATCAATTCATATAAGTTCTTACCCAATTAATACCAATTTAATATCTCCAACAGTTACGGCGGCCCCATGAAATGGACAACTGAACAAGAATAATTAAAAAAAAAGAAAAGAAAAGAAAAGAAAGGGAGACTCAAGTTTCAAAACAAGAATAAGGAATAAGAATAAAAAAATGGGACGCCAAATTCCAGAGATATCTTCGCACTTCTGGGTTAAACCGGGGGGCATCAAAAAATTAAATAATTAAACAACAACAATAATAATTATAATAAGAGTAAAATACTCTGATTATCCTTTTAGTTTGTATCAATTACACAGACTTCCCCTCTATTTTAAAAACATACAATTTAGTCCAATTAGTTAACACAATTAGGAATATTCTAAAAATATTATTTTGAACTGAAATTTATATTAAAATAAAATTTATTTACTAGTTTATTCCTCATTCTAATAAATTTCTAAATTATATCTTTATAGTTATATCAATTTCATTCAGTTAAGACAAACGTAAAAGATTTGATTAAAAATTTAACTAATTTCATAAAATTTGATGATTTAAAGTAAACTATGAAAAATTATAAAATCTTATGATTTAGATCAAAATTAATAAATTTTATAACATATTATAAGTTTTAAAGATAATTATTTTTTGATTTTATAAAAATATTTTTTAGAAAATATAAATGTCAAAATAATTATTAATTTAAAAAGGGTATTTTAGTTAAAAAATAATTTAAAATTAAACTTAATGGTCAACTAACAATTTGGGTATATAGAAATAAAATTTTAAATATAAAAGGGACGTTTGTATAACATATGTTTCAATTATAAAGGAGATTTATATATATTTAGAAAATAAATAACAGATTTTTATAATTAAGATAAAATATGAGAGTAGTCAGTATATTTTACTCTCATAAAAAAACAAAGGGCGGTAAAAGAAAACTAGCTGGGGGAATGTGCTGAGGTGGCCATGCGTGAAAGAATATTCCGAATATTCTTTTTCATACGTATTTTTGTTTTTTGTTTTGTTGTTTTCATTTCTTGTCTTTAACGAACGCCTTGTTCCTCGGGGCCCAAGAAATTTGTATCTCTCCAAGTTTTATTTGAATTGAAAGTTTACAACGTTGATGTGCGGATCCTGTTTTTCTTTTTGTAATGATAAGAATCTCTTCTTGAAAATGAATCTTTTGTAAGAACCAAAAAAAAAAAAAAGTGGTTGGTCGTAATTGACAAACCAACTCAGATTATTCTCTCTCTCTCTCTACTGATATTTTCTCCAAAAAATCCAAATTAGAGGAAAGTAGTGAGTTTGATGGAGCTAGCTTGAATTACAAGAAACATAAAAGCTTCATACTACCTCCGGATCTCATTTGACTTTAATTTTTGTTCTAAATATAAGATTTCAATCTACTTTGTCTCTCATATTTATGTTTTTTTTTTCCAAGATATTCCTTTTAGTAATAATAATTCTAGCCAATACACTTAATTATTAAAAATATTTTAGAAAAGACATTACCTATTTATTACAAATAACTAATTTAACTTATTTTCTTAATATACTCAAATTAGTTATTTAACTCTTATATTTATGACCGGTAGTATTTGATGGGAATACTAGTGAAGTAAGATTTTTTTTTTTTTTTTCCACTAATGCTACTCAAATAAGATTCCAGATCTTACTAGGAGCATCCCCATGTGGCTTTGGAATAGAGCTAATTACATTTAAAAACAAAATTATACAATTTATGATCTAATATTTAGACGGTAGATCTCATGCAACTATGGGGTCGCATGTCTAAGATGAGGCACAACATATTTACATTTATATAGATATTGATGCCATTTATTCAAATTCATGAGATCAAGTTGCATCGAACCTTTTTTTTCATAGCACTAAATATTTTTTTTTTGGTGAACGAAAGAGGCCTAAGGCCCAAAAGAACAAAAACATCTAGCCTTCATCAATCCCGTGAGTCGAAGTCAGCAAACTTCCTTTGTCTTTCTCGAACTGAACACGCAACCACTTTGGAACTTCTTCCCAGATTTTGCTTACATTGTCGGATTTCAAGCCCCATTTCGCCAAAGCATCAGCACAAATGTTCAGATCTCTCCCAATCTTGTAGATTCTCACAGTCTAGTCACGTTCCAAGAGCTCCAATATTCCTCTTTGGACCCCATCAACGAAACCAGCAGTTTCTTTGCCCTTCAATCGCTTAGCCAGAATTTCAGAGTCAGTTTCCATGATGATCTTACGAAAGCCTCTATTCCAAGCCAAGGTAAGCCCTTTCAAAATCCCCCAACTTTCTGCTTCTATCACGCCACAAAAGCCAAGTCTTTAGGCAAAACCACAGATCCACTCACCTTCCTCATTTCGCAGGACACCTCCACAACTCGCGAAGCTCGGATCACCACAACAAGCACCGTCTGAATTGATCTTAATCCACCCCAGATCCGGAGCAGACCACGACTTTTGAACAGTCAAAGTCTTGATATTCGACTTTACAACTAGACCTTTAGCATTCATAAATTCGTCTGCAAGAAACCAAATTCTATGAACGAGAGCCCCGCCTATTTTTTGTGAAGTCTGGACACAAACTCATTCCTCTGCTTCCACAAAATCCAGGTGGTGACACCGAAGATAATACACCAAGGTATGTCTCTAACCTTCCTTCTATCACTAAGGTTAGAAATTAGCCATTGTATGAGGGGATTAGAGAAAAAATTGGACTGGATATGACTATCATTAGAGATTTCTAGCCAAACTGCACTAGCCCTCCTGCAATCCCTGATAGCATGTAAAGTAGTTTCAAAACTTCCACAATCCTCACACGCTCCTTCCGCTCCCCATCTCTTGAATCTCAAAGCATTTGTAGGCAGACTATCATGAGCCACAAGCCATAGGAAACATCGAATCCTTTTTGGCCCATTCCACTTCCAAATTAGTTCCCACAATTTATTCCGAATTCCACAATTGTCACTTCTTAGTTTATTATACCCTTCCTTCACCGTGTATGAACCCTTGCTGCCTTTCCACAGAACCACATCAGAGCCTACGCCATATGGAGGATGAAAAGCACGTAGTTTTTCTAGAGCCTCTTTATTTAGAAGAGCCTGAAGCCTTCTCCAGTCCCAACTCCCGTCAAAATCTACCATATCGGCAACCAAGCTTTCCAAACACCCATCATCAACCTCTTTCACACAAGAGTTGATAAGTAAAGTATCCTTATCCACCCAGGGTTCAAGCCAAAAAGAGGTATCTTTACCATCAACAATCCCCTTCCAAGAGTGAGCATTTAACACCTCCCAAACCACACCAATATCTCTCTATAGAGGAGAGGCAACCTTTGGAATATGAAGGATTGAAGAGAGCTCATTACCAGAATTATACTTCCATTTCAAAACTTCTGCCCAAAAACCACAAGACTTATTCCTCAGCTTCCATGCCATCTTTAGTAAACAAGCCTGGTTCATTTCAGTTAGGCTTAACACCCCTAGTCCTCCGTTCCTCCTTGGTTTCTTAATAGTATCCCACCCAACTAGGTGCACCTTACGAGTTTCCTCCTTATGGCCCCATATAAAATTCCGTTGCACCCGCTCCACCTCCTCTAGAAGACCTTTAGGTAACAAGGTCACCATCATTGGGTAAATAGGAATCGCTCCCATGACAGACTTTGCTAGGGTAATTCTGCCAGCCATACTTAAGCAATTAACCTTCCAATTAGCTAATCTTCTCTTGACCTTGTCTAATACATAGCCATAGTTCTTCAATTTCCCCCCTGTATTACTGAGTGGAATACCGAAGTAATTTCCTAATTCATTTGTTTCGACAAAACCAGAGAGATCAACCAGTTTCCTCCTAGTCTCAGGTGAGACATTCTTGGAGAAAAGGAGTGCTGACTTACCAGCATTAACCTTCTGTCCAGAAATATCACAGAAATGCTCCAGACACTTCATAGTTAACCTCATTTGTTCTTCTGAAGCTTCCCCAAACAACATTAGGTCATCAGCAAACATTAGATGAGAAATCTCAGGGACATTTCTTCCCACCTTAAAGGCTCACCATCGCTAAGGGTGGAAACAGGCCAGGCCAGGCCAGGCCTTGCTCTTAATAGGCCAGGCCTGTTTTGGAGCCTATTGGCCTGAGCCTGGCCTGTGGCCTGTTACAGGCTTATTTTTCAGCCTGAGCCTGGCTTGTGTAAAGGCCTGGCCTGGCCTGAAGCCTGTTAAAATGCCTGTATTTTTCAAAAATTCAAATTATAATAATTATTTTTTTAAAAAAGCTAAGATTAAAAAAACGTACATAATAATTAAATTTTTAGTCTTGTCTTTTATTTAAATTTTAGTATCACAAGTACTATTTTAAATCTTAATTATAATTTATAAGAATGTTATTGAAAACTAATTGTAATTATATGTTAAAATTTGGAATAAGACTACATTTAAGTACACAAAAAAAATTAAAATTAAGACAAATAAATAAAGAGGAAAATAATAATAATTTTATAATGAATAAAGAGGATATCATACTTAAATTAACATAATACGTAAGTTAGTTAATTTATCATTCTTGAAACAAAATTTTTCTTTCCTATTTTTTTAAATATTTTTAAGATTTAAAAATCACATTATTTATTAATATTATTATTTTAAATTATATTTTTATCTTCACTTGTCATCTAAACTTCAAAATCTAAGAAAAGATTAAACTATTAACTATATATTAAAATTAAAAAATAAATTAAAAGAACACATTAACAATAATAGCATTAATTAATTTTTTATATATTATAATTATAAATTCTTAACAGGCTCAGGCCGGCCTAACAGGCTTAACATGCTTTTTAAAAAGCCTAAGCCTGGCCTGTTTAACTAAACAGGCCTGAGCCTGTCATTTTTGGGAAATAGGCCAGGCTAGGCCAGGCCAAATGCAGGCCAGGCCATAGGCCCCTGACAGGCCGCCTGGCCTGTTTCCACCCCTAGCCATCGCCTTCCTTCCTTGGCCCCTTGAATAATATGGGACAATTTTTCCATAGCAAGAACAAAAATATAGGGGGACAAGGGGTCTCCTTGTCGAATTCCTCTAGAGGGGTTAAAACCTTCAGTCTTCTCACCATTCCAAATCACTTGCATAGAGACAGAGGTAATACACCTCATTAACAACTTCTTGAACCCCTCAGCTAAGCCCAACTCACCCAAGACTTCCTCAATAAAACTCCACCTTAGCCTATCATAGGCTTTTTCCAAATCAATTTTAATAGCAAAATAGCCAACCTTTCCCTTCAAGAGTTTCATAGAATGAATAATCTCTTGGGCAACAACAATATTGTCTTGAATCTGTTTACCTGGCACAAAACTGGCTTGGTTAGGGGATACAACCCTATTAAGAATCTGTTTCATCCTTTTAACAATAATTTTAGAAACACATTTGTAAACAACATTGCATAGGCCAATAGGTCTCATTTGCTTTAAGGAATCAGGCCTTTCCACCTTAGGAATTAACACTAGCAAAGTCTTATTCACTTCTTGCAATTATTCCTCATTTCACCAAAGTTTCTTCACAAACTCACTCACATCAGGGCCTATAAATTCCCATTCTCTTTGGAAGAAAATAGCAGGGAAACCATCTTCACCGAGGGCTTTAAAGGCTCCAATTGAAAACATGGCATCCCTCACTTCCTCATCCACAATATCTCTATCCATCCATTCTATCTCTTCTGATGGTAAAGTGGGAAAGGTGATCATCAGGTTCTCAGTCACCCCTAAATCTTGCTGGTCAGAATTCTTTTCTTCAGTAAATAGCTTTATAAAGAAATCCTTAGCCATTTCCTTTAGTTCTTCTTGATCCTCTACCCAAATTTCTCCATCCCTTTTTAGCATAGCTACCTTATTTCTCCTTCTCCGAGCAAGAGTTCGAACATGATAGAACTTAGTGTTTCTATCTCCATCGTTAATCCACTCTCCTCTAGATTTTTGGTACCACAGTATCTCTTCTTGACTCAGCACATCTTCAAGTTCTTTCTGCAAATTATCCTCCAGTTTGATTAAGGAAGGGCTGGGTCTATTGCAATTACTGATTTTCTTTTGGATTCCATCTAGTCTCGCAACCAAAAGCTTCTTCCTTTTATGAATACTTCTGAACACTTCACGGTTCCAAGAAATAAGACTATCACGCAATTTATTGAGTCTTCCATTAAATTTTCCTTCCCTATTCCAGTTCTTCTGCAACATTTCCTCAAAGTTATTGTGAAGCAACCATGCTGCTTCAAATCTGAAAGGGCGTTCGCCACTAGGCTTATTTCTCTCTCCCAAACAAAGCAACAGAGGATTATGGTCAGAACACCCTATTCTGGTCAAAACTTTTATCATCGCATTTGGAAAGGAGCATCTCCAATTTACATTACACATACCCCTATCCAGCCTCTCAAAAATTCTCTCATAACCCTGCAGAATCGGCCCCTTCCAGGTGAATCTATTTCCCCAAGTACCGACATCCATCAAGCTACACCCATTAATTCTTTCATTGAACAGCTCACATCTCCTTAACAGAATAGGCGCTCCTCCCCTCTTTTCCCCTTGGTCTCTAATATCGTTAAAGTCTCCCAAGAGAAACCAAGGGCTGGTAGAAACTAAAGTAAACTGAAACATTTCTTCCCAGAACAAGCATTTATCTCTTTCCCTTGGTCCAACATAGGCAATAGTAACCACCCACTCCAAATTACTCGGCCCCTTTACTGCCAAATGTACATATTGCGCATTTTCTTTTAGCACTGAAAACTTTAGCTCATCATCTCTCCAAGCCACCCAAATACCACCAGAAAATCCTGAACCTGGCACAGCCACAAAGTTGGTTAACCTTATTTTACGGAACACTTCCTCTGCCCTGGTATGACTAACTCTAGTCTCCAAAAGACCCACCAAAACCGGTCGCCTTTCCTGCACCAGCAACTTTAAACTTCTCTCAAACCTCTTGCTACCAGCACCTCTACAGTTCCACGCCAAAAACTGATGATCATAGTTCATGGGTAAAATAGAAATAAGAGGGGGCCAAATCAGCAATTAATCTATGCTCATCACAGCACTATTCCACTGCCTCTCTGCATCCTCCATCCCACTACCTTTGACCTCATTCTCTTCCACCCCTCTAGAATCAGGGGGTCTTCCTTCATTTCCATCTTTGAATCATAGGATTTCTTTTGCAATTTCTGGGGTTTCTTGGACAACATTAACATCCAATTCCTTCAAACAGCCTCTATTAGAGTCCACAATCATAGTACCATTGTTGCGCACTACAATAGTGTCCTCATTAACAGTCCTCTGTCTCCCCTTCATGCTACCTTGCTTGTTAGACTTGGAGCTACACTTCACGACTTCCCTGTTCTCATACACCACAGGTAAGCTCATTTGTGATTCATTATTATTTGCTTTGGAGTTTTCCATAGATTTCCTCTTATACCATATCTTCTCCTGTACAACCTCTGTTGGCCTTGTGTCTTCCACCATCAGTTCATTCCCATGAATTTCTACTTCAGT